GCTCTCCTGGGCCTTTTCCTGGTGGGACGTGCCTGGAGCTCCTCCTTAAGAAGGCTTCCAGGGGGCATCTGGAGCAGATGTTAGAGTCTCCTCACCTGATGACGTGGAGGAGAAGCAGATCTACTCTAAGCATCTCCAGGATGCTCCTCGCCCTATCTCTAAAGAATTTCCCAGCCATCCTGCAAAGGAAGCTCATTTCAGCTGCCTGTATCGTGGATCTTGATCTTTCAGTGGTGATCCAGCTTTCATGTCCATAGGTTAGGTTTGGAAAGTAGACCTATAAATCACTTGGTTTATGCCCTCTTCACATTAACAAACCAGTAAGGCTTCCACATCATAGCGGCAGCCCCAAGGATCCATCTGAAATAAATAGTTCTCCATGCAAATCTAAAAAGTTTGGTTCGTACGGCTCTCCCCTCTTATTTTTTCACAACTCTTCTTTTGCAAAATAAAAGCATCTGCAATCTGGAACTTTCTGGACTCCGATCGAGCCATTCTCAAATATGAATATGCTTTTATCTAAATTAATTAACATTTATTTTAACCCACAAACATTCTTTGACCTAAAATGTTGCAAAGTACCTCCAGTTTTAGGTCTAGTCTTGTCCTATTGGAAGGTGAACCTTCACCACTGCCTTTTGTTCCATTGTAAGTTTTTTCAATCTTCCCACCAGCTTTAACCAGCCTCTCTGACTCACAGCATGATGCTGCCACTGCCATGTTTCACCCTGAACATAGTAGGCTCAAGGTAAGGTGTTAGTTTTCAGCCACACAGTTTTGCATTTAAATGTTTATTTTGTTCTTTCTTCCACATGTTTGCTGAGACTCTAAATGCCTAAATAATAACTAAACATGGCTTCTTATTCCTTCCATGGTAACAGATTCATCCACTAGAGATGTGGATCTACACAGATCCTACAGTTTTTTATTGAACTCTTGTTTGCCTCTCTGAATTCCACTGTTCTTTTCCTTTTGATCAGTTTAGTTGTATTGCTATAGTGTCATATTGTTTTTTTTTTTTTTTTTAATAATGGTTTAAACTGTGTTTGAGCAAATTTATGAACCTTGAGTTATTGATTTTAATCCTGTTTATAAATACCTATTTTTCTGACTGGTTTTCTATGTTTTTGTTCTTTATGATGATTTTTGTTCTCTAATGTCATGTCTCTAAAGATCAGCTGGATTTTTGCTAAAATTAAGGATGAATACGTGGCGAGGCAATATTCACTAATTGGAAGACTTGCAAAGGGAATCAGTTGCATTGGATTTGATTTAGCGGTATTAGAGTAAAGGGGGGTAATTGATAAACACTACATACTCTAATGTGACAATATGTGAAAAGGTTTAAAGAGGTATGAACACATCAAGAGCTGCATATCAATCCTTGGCTAAAAGCGCACAGCAAAGCCCATTTTGATAGATTTCTATGCAGGAAAAAGATGTGTCTCTCAAACCAGGAAGAGTGTTTTATACCAGCAGTGTCTCTGAGCCATCTTTGGATTATCCAGTAGAAAAATATAATTTTAGATTTCATTAAAATATTACTGAGGAAGCATGGGAAAGGAAAAATGCCCACTTTTTAGAGATATTCTGGGATAAAAATCATGATCATCGTTTCATTCTTATTCATTGACTGGGACCTCATTTCCAGCTGGGGAACAAAGAGCCTCCCTGTGCACGCTGTTGTTCTCAAAGAGACCTTTTGAACCGTAACCCCATATTAAATGAAGATAACTTTCACGATGCATGGCTGCAATCCTGATAAACTTATAATAAATCAGGACCACACTGATACAGATCAAGGAAGAGAAAGAGGGCGGATGAAATGATATCACTTCACGATTGGCTCTAAAAACGAAATTTCCCATCTGAATTAAAACCACATAAAACACATGTTAGACTGACATCATTTGGCTGCTTGTCCTACGAATGCCCCAAGAGTAAAACAGGACTTAGATAATAAGGCTCATCTCACACATTTCCTCTAACTTTAATTAATCTTTACTGGTTTTTATTTTTGCTGTTACTTTTACGAGAGGTTATTGGACTGGAATAAGAGATGTTTGTGTCTTCTCCATAGGAATCTTATTTAAAATAAGACATGCATACAATTTATAGCCTATATCCACTTTTTTCCTGAGGTCCTTTTGTGGCTAAATGATCATCTGACAAAAAAAGAAATTAAAAGTTTGGGCTAAAATTGAGCAAGATAGTGATAATAGAAAAAAATATTTGTCCATTTGTATTGCTCCTCTAACAAAGAACCAAAACATTCTGGTCATTTGTTAACCAGATAGCTTGAGTGTGCAAGGAGCCCTCCATATTGGCATTGCTAACCGCTAACATCCTTCTTGTATATAAAAATAAAAAGGTTAAAAAAAAAAGATACGGTAATAGTTCATTGCAATGACAATGAAATAATAGCAGATCAACTATCTGCCTGATAGCCGTTGCTATACACCATTTTGTTGGACACATTTTCTATTGTTATCAAGTTATCCTGGTGTATAAATTATTCATTTCTTGCCCTAACCTGTTGTCAAGTGATTTCCAATTTCCGGTCTTTAAACAGCAGATTTCTCTACTTCAAACGGCAGCTTCCTTTAGAAGGTTTAACCTGAAGAATCATGTCTTTCTTTCTCTCTTCTGTTTTAAAAGTCATCAAGGCCACAATAGATGAAAAACCTTTGGATACAGAAAAGGGTTAGAAAGTAAAAGTTAAGAAAGTAAAACCAACTAATCCAAAATGAACTATGACCAAAATCAAATACCCTGAAATCATCCTTAAGATGAAGTATAACATCTCAAAGTTTTACCCCAAATCAATGCAATATATATACACTCACCGGCCACTTTATTAGGTACCCCATTCTAGTAACGGGTTGGACCCCCTTTTGCCTTCAGAACTGCCTCAGTTCTTCGTGGCATAGATTCAACAAGGTGCTGGAAGCATTCCTCAGGGAGTTTGGTCCATATTGACATGATGGCATCACACAGTTGCCGCAGATTTGTCGGCTGCACATCCATGATGCGAATCTCCCGTTCCATCACATCCCAAAGATGCTCTATTGGATTGAGATCTGGTGACTGTGGAGGCCATTTGAGTACAGTAATTTTAACAGTGATGCAGATTGCTGTGTTTTGTTCATCTGTTTTATTTTTTTTTTTTTTTTTTTTTTTTCTGTGTCTATTTCATACTTATGTATATTAAATCTTATGTTGAATGTACTGCTGCCACTTGCTCTGTGTTGCAAATAATTGATAATTTTTTTGCAACACAGAACGAGTGACCAGGACTGTACTTATATATATAGCCTATATCTAAAAAAAAACTCCCAATATTGTTTTTTAAATATTATAAATCAGTTTCTTAATGGTTAGCTGATGATTCACCTTCAAACTCTGCAACTTTACTTGGATCATTAGAACAAAACTGTACATACCTCTATTCTATCTGAGACCCTACAGGAAACATGTTTTATCTCCACCCTTTAGAGAGCAGCAGCTCTACAGGGAGGATTCTGTGGGTAGATTTGGAGATAAATGGGAAGGATGCCGTGAGGTAACTATGCCTTCCTAGGCTTGAAGAGAGCCTGATTCACCTTCTTTTGGTCTTTAAATGAAAATAATCCAGTCCCAGCAATTATTGCTGGATGCTTTTCATTTACTCCACAAGAGTTGATTACAAACCTGCCTTGGAGAGGATGATGTTTCCCTCTAAAGAGGGTAGCAATATGCGGAATGAACTGAGGTTAAATTGCTACCATTCTCCTGAAAGTGAAGCACACATTAAAAACACAAGCAAGAACAGGAACTTCATTAAAACCCTTAAATGAGAAGAGCTGAAATATATGAAGTCTGGGGTGAATCTAGAGAAAAAAACGGATCAGTTATCAGAAGTGTAAACCCATTAGATAAGCCTGTTAAGGTGAATGTTTGGCTGTTTAACATGTCTGCAGGCACAAGAGGCCTTTGTCCTTTTCTTACACTTCCTCTCTCCTACATTCATCCCTCTCTGTCTTTGTGGAAGAAATGCATGGCCACAAAGTAAATCTGTGAGCTCAGCATTTGGATGTGGTTTTAATATATTAGGTAATTTATCTCGCTGGTATGAAACAGTACACTAAACAGCACCAGGTGGATCATTATCAGAGAGCTTCTTTTCCCCTTTACCCATTCACAATACTCAAATCTGGGTTTTATTAGAAAGAAGTGTGCACTCCTGCAAAAATGTGCATTTTTTGGTGTTTTTTTTAGAAATTTTTAAGAGTGACAATGTGTATCAAATGTTCTTTCTGTTTTCCGTTCAGCCAATTTTTAAATCCCCTTTGGCCTCCTTTTCCCTTAAAGTCTGGGGTGGGGTGCATACAAATACACAACCATGCAAACTCTCACTCCTAGTCTCTTTAACCACCAGTTAACCTTACATGCATGTTTTGGGGTTGGGCTGTGTAAAAAGCTGGGGTTTTTCACACAGAAGCCATGCATGCACATGGTGAACATGCAAACACAATAAAGAAAGACCTGAACAGCTGGGGGTCCAACCAGAGAGCTACCTGCTGAGGGGCGACAAAGATACTGTACACAGACCAAAGGTTAGTGTAAAACAATCTAAAAGATCGTGAATTTGACTCATTTTATCATTTTTTGAGGGAAAAAAAATCATTTTATACGTTTTTATTATTTTTACAAATAAGAATGTATTTCAGAATTGAAAATATAAATTTACCTGACAATGTTCTATCTTGCTCTGCAGGCTTAACATTTATACCTAATATATATATATATATATATATATATACACACATATATATATTTCTTTTAAACATGAAAATTGCAAGTACTTTAAAATTACATAAAAAAAAATAAAAAGATAAGGGCTTGTAAAGAAGTAGCCTTTGGTTGTTCAGCTGTAGTTCCTATAGTGAACACACGGTGGCGACACGTGTCTAAACACAACCATGCGGTTCCTTTGGGCAAAACTCTGATTGCTGAAGTTTGTTGGGAAGAGTTTGCGCTCATTGGGATAGAGAGACACACACACACACACAATTGGGAGTCCGGAGAGAGAAGAAGGAAAGAGGAAAGTTTCCGCTTCTGTCTTTTTATCCAGATACTTTCGGTGCGCCTTTTGGAAGGAAAAACACGGACAGCAAACTCCGAAGCCTGCGCGCTGAATTTGGAGACTCGTTTTGTGGTGGAAAGAGTGTCAGGGTGAGATATTGCTCGGATTTGGATGTGAAACGCGGACCAGGGTGTGAGACAGAGCCGAAGGAATGTATCGTAACCGGGCAGCGGTGCGGCTGTGGAGATGTCCAGCCTGCGCTCTCTGCGTCTCTCTGCTGCTCCAGTGCGTCCTGGCGCTCAGCGCGTCTGGTAAGTTTGAGCAGCTTTCTCCTCCATTCCTCCTGCTGGCCATGTTCCATGCGGTTAACCTTCATTCATCTATGTGCAAAACAATTATAACTAAGTTGCTTTTAAATTCTTTTACAACCATGTTTGGTTTTTGAGACTTTTTTCTCCTTTGTTTCCACTGAAGAGATCATCTGAGTCCCATGTAGATGAAGCTGATCTGTTTGCCATCACTTAGCTTCTTCTCTCATGCAAACGATCTTTGGTTTTCAGACTGAAGCCCTTTTGTGATTCTGAAGCCTCGGCACGGGGAGAGGCTTCACCCCATTGATAGGCATGAGGGGGGCCCTTACCTTGGCCCTTGGCAGCGCATTGTGCGCCCTTCCATTCTCTGGAAATGCAGATTATTTAAAGATAAGGATGCAGGAGGGCTTATCTCCCCTTTCCTTTGCCTTTGGTTAATAACACTAATGGCTGTTGAGGCAATAAGTGAAGGTTTTTATAAAATACCCCAGCTGTTGACTCCTGATGCAGATCTGTGCCATGCAAGTATCCATTCCTCTGAAACGAGTTTTATTAACATTTCCTCTTAAGAGTCTGTGCTTATGAGGTGGAAAGAAAAAATACTCCTAGTTTCCAATGTATCCAGAACTTAAAAGTTTGAGCAGATTGATGCTTTTGCATCCAGTCCCCTTTGAATCAGTGCTTTTTAGAACCAACATTTGTCACATTTATAGCTACAAGTCTTTTAAGGTTAGCAGAAATGTTTTTATATATCCTCACAAAGCAACCAAAAGCCCAATCTGATTAGATAGGAAGTCTAAATATCCATTTTGACCTCAGATTCTCAGTTGTTTTTAGGTGTCTGCTGTGTGTTTAGGGTTGTTGCCCTCCTAATAACTGCTGCCACACTAAGCATCCCCACAGCATCATCCTGCCACCTCCTGCTTTCACAACAGGGATGCATTTTTGCTTTGTTGGTGTTTTACATGTAGATAGGAAAAGTTTTGGTTTTGTTGTGCCCCCTGGTTGAAATTGCATAGGGGACCTCTTCTTGCCAATCTTTTAACTATTTAATGGTCTTTAATGCAGTGGTTTGAAACTTCTTAATAAAAAAAAATCTGTTGTAAGAGATCTGTTGCTGTGTTAAACAGCCAGCAGTTTATTTCTGTTTTTAGATTTTAAACAAAGTGGAACATAAAATGTCTTATAAAAATGAAGCATATATTTTCTTTAGTAGGATGGCATTTGATGAGCTAGAAATGTAAAATAAAGAACAAAAAAAAAACAATTAACAAGCTAATGACAAATGTACAGATTTAATAACATATTTCTGATTCTTTTCGTGTCATTTTGTTGAAAATTTGATTAAAATGTTTTTTATAATAACCTGCTAAAGCTTCTTAGATTGTTATTTGCTATCAAACTGTATTCGAAACCGTCAGTTGGCTTATGTATCATTTTCAGCCACTATTAAGGTAAAGGCAGTGGGCCCTAAGAGCCACTTGTGGCTCCAGGGCCACAGGTTGCAGATTGCTGCTTTAATGTGTTTAACAATTTTCTATGTTTTGGATAATCTAATTTAGTGTTAAACTTCTGTATCCTTCTGTCTTTACTATGCTGTGTGTTCGCTAATGCTCTCTGACATCAGAGGCCTTCTTAGATCAGCTCAATTTGTATGAATATTGAATCACACACACATGGACTCTGTTCACTAATAAGACTTCTGGATATTGTGAGTTAAAAGTAAAAGAGGACAGATGTAAGTTAAGCTTCACTTTACTTATTTTTTTCTGTTTTAAATTAAAATCATTTATATAGTTTTTCTTCCACTAAACAATAATGTGTTGCTTTGTGAACTCCACTGAAACACATTAGTTTTTGAGTTTTTTAACCTGATCAGATGTGCTGTAGGTTCAACCGGTATGTGATATTTCTCAAAACTTTTTATCTTTAGGGCCTCTGTTAATAGGGTTCGGTTGTCTCTAAAGGCTGTTGAGGCAATAGGATGACTTTTAAAAACGTACTCCAGCTTTTGACTTGCGAGACAGAATAATTCCCTGATTTGTGGGGAACCCCTATTTAGGACTAAAGGCTACGTTTGTCTTGTCAGTCTTAAGTTTTACTGCTTTTCTCACCCTCTCTGCCTTCACACAGCTCTGTGTGTTTGTGTGAGACCCTAAAGGAAAAGCTGGCAGATGGCCTCATGTTGTATGTATATATGGAACTGCTTGACTAATAGAAGTATGATTGATTTCAGTTTGGATCAGATATGGGCTGTTTATGAAGCTGCTCGGGGAAGGCATTTTAAGTTTTTGTGTCCTGGCCTTTTTGAGTGTGCTGTAAGTATTTAACGGCCCTCCCGTTCCAGATAGGTAGTTATGAATTATCTCCGGAAGATTTTCTGGGTTTGTTTGGATTACCTCTGTCCTCCCCTAAATGCTTGGGGCTGATATTTACGATGACACTGTGCAGCATATGCTGCGTTGGACCTAAAGCTTTTATGCGATCGCCTTTCTCTTTCCCGTCCCTTTTCTGTATCTTCTGGCCTATTTCTCTTGCTTGGAGACAGGGAGGAATGTTAATCCAAGTTACTTAACAGGATGAGTTGGCTATGAGTTCTTCAAATGGAGTTAAATGGTAGTATATGTAGAAGAGGGCTTAAACCTCCCTACTTTATCTAAAAAAAATAATATATAAGGTCCAGAAATTGATTTGTTCAGTTTTAGATCTAAATACTCCAGATGTGCAAATCAATCACATGAGAATCGGGATCAACCAAAACTCCCCTAAATAGTGCACATAGACATCAAGCAACCAAATAACAAGCTAAGTTTTTAAGGTGGTTGCTGATTATTTATAGAATTGAACTTTTTGACATTAGTCTACTCTAGACGATCCCTGATATGTGCTGCTGATCCATGATTTTTGGGTCGATTCTCGAAGCGGATGTTACTTTTTATTCTTTTAAATAAAAAATAAAAAGTTAGACAAATCTCAATTTAAGTAAAAGCTTTAAAAGGTAAAACATTTAATAACAAATCAAGCTAAGCAACAATAGACAGCATATGAAGGGACACATAACACCTGCTTTTAAGGCATGGCTGCTGAGTGCACTAATGAGTCCAAATATCGACCAATGCATGAAAAAATTTAAATGTCCGCCCAAAGAAATTTGGTAAGCTGATGTATCGGTATATATATATATATATATTCCAAACTAAGAAATCCAATTATTTTTGGTCTATAAATAGGGCTGCATCCAATGATTATTTTGCAAATCAATTAATCTGTTGATAAATCTTTTCGATTAATAATTGGAGAACAAAAGAACATTTCTTACTAAATTAAACCAGGTGAAACTAAAACATTTCCTCTTGAGTTCTGGATAGAGCACATTGACAGACGAAAAGTTTTTTTTCATCTGAAATGCAAAATATTTTTTGCAATTTTGATATAATTACTGCTCTAAGTGGGTCGCAGTTGCAGCTAAAGCCATATTTTACAGTCTCTTCACTCCAGTTAAAGATTAATCGATTGCTAAATTAGTTGACAATTATTAAAATAATCAATTAATCAAGACTCATCTGATTAGTTGTTTCAGCTCTAATTATAAACACATTAACAACTATCATGAAAAAACAAACCTAAAAATGAAATGGTCAGGAGTGAATGTGTTTCTGTATATTTCTCTCTATATATTTTACTATCTTTAAGTAGCAGTGATACTTCTATATGGAGCAGGATATCTACACATAGAAAAATCATATATCCTCCATACTGCGGGGAATAAGGAAAGACACGTTCATATTATTGGTGAAAATAAAAACATGGCAATACTTTTGTTCTTGTCTTCTCAATACAGCAAAATCAGTGTTAATTTAGCTTGATAGCAATTGTTTAAATTAAAAAGCACTTTCCTTTCTACTTAGAAATGCTATGTTGAAGCTGAGTGCTTGGAGTTGAGTTATTGAAACAAGCTTTTGTTTCCTGATGCTGTGAAATGGAGGTACTGCTGGTCTGAACAAAAGCTTTTTTTTTTTTTATCAACGACTATGTTTAATGTTTGTTCCTTTGGAGATTTTGACATGACATATTTCGTTACAATTCAAATATATTAATATACAGATTTTCCACCTGGGAAGGAAAATAATTATCTTCAAAGACATACTCATGAAAAAATTTTTGATTATTTAAATAGCTCCTATTCTTTGCTTAAAGTTTCAGAATAGCTGAAAATCAGATTACACCCTTAAGATAATCAGAAATCAGTTTTAACAAAGGAAAACCTGACTGGTGCATCCTTCATCAAAACCTTTAGACTACAAATCTCCTTTTCTACATTAAAAGGACATGACATAAATGTGCTTCACTCTTTGAGTTTATTTTTTTAACAACCTTTTCACCATCTGTTAGTTGCCAGGAGTTTTGTCTCCTTTCTAGTCGGAGAAGAACAACAATAATGTGGTTCGGCTGTAATCAATTGTGAAGAGAACAGTGCAGCGCCCTGTGATCTGTGGCTGTGTTATGGCCGCGCCGTGGAAGTGTCTCAGCACATGTGGCCAAGAAGAAAGGGAAGAGCGTCGTTATCTGCTTTTATTTGTGGCTGTCTGGTTTGCAAGTCACTCTGCAAGCTTCCAGCCAGGGGTCAGAGGTCACAGGTCTGTCGGTGTAATATAAATGCCAGCGTTTTCAGGGACAATTAGGGTTTCCCTGACTTCAACAAGGGAATTTTGATGACAAGGCAAAAAAACACAAGGAAAAAAACCCAAATAGATGAACGTTGTTTATGTGATTTACTGCATGTGCACCAAAACCATATCTGGATTGTATATCAGCTCTGATAGTGACTAATTACCTGGATGGGAGATCAGATGAACAACATCGATCCAACATTCCCATCTAGGCATTGGTTTTCTTTTATTCAAATCATACACATTTATTCGTTTTGTCAGGATAAAAGTCATCCTTGTATAAATCAAAGGTTTGGGAGAAAAGAACAGGAAGAAAAGGGTGTGGCCTAT